ACTGACCTTATGGAAATAGAGAGTAGAATGATGGTTACCAGAGGCTGGGAAAGGTAGTCAGGGTGTGGGAAGGATAAAGAGGCATTGGTTAATGGGCACAAAAACACAGTTAGAAGGAACAAAATCTCACATGCACAATAGGATGACTATAGTTAACAATAATTCATTGTATATTTCAAAATACCTAGAAGAGTCAATTAGAATGTCTCTAACAAAAAGAAACGATAAATGCTTGAAGTGATGAATATCCCAATTACCCTGATTTGGTCATTTCACATTGTGTGCTTGTATTAAAATATCACATGTACTCCATAAATATGTACAACTATTATATACCCACAAACAATTTTTAAAAGCAGAAAAAAAATCTGTCTGCCTTTAAAAGTTTGGAATACCATATGAATTTATACAGTATATAGATATATCAAAATGAGTCAAAGGAAAGCTGGAATTTCTTAAGGTATCAAATGGCCCTATAACTATCACACATACCTGATTCATATTTTTCTGGTTGAAACCAGCCCATAAGGACATAAATTCTCTACATAACAACCAGAGTATCTTATTGCTGCAGATTTTGCTATAAGGTGCCTTCTTTTTCTTATCTTCTAAAAAGAAACCTTTGGTACCAAAAAAAGCCTGTGAAGGTAAATAATAATTGTCTTTGAATGAGATAAAATATTTGAGAACTACCCATATGACAAGGTATTAGTAACCAGAATATGTAAGGAGCTCAAGTCAATAGCAAAAACAACAATATGCCCAAATAGCAATAGCAAAAAAACAAAATTCAAGAATCATCTTCAGAATTCTTGACATATCCTTCATTCTAGAAATGAGCCATGCTTTGGGGATCTATTTGTACTAGCTGATTCAGTCAAGGAGACCAAATTATTGAGGAAAAGTGACTTAGGAATCTATCTCCAAATGAGGAAGATTATCAAATATTATTTACAAGGAGATTGCAATAAAGGTCCTCAACCCCAAATTCACATCTCCATAGTGAAATTTCCCTGTATTCTGCCCAATCAGTGCTTACCAAAATTTCTTTCTCATTAATTGGTAAGAAAGGCAAAACAGTTTCTTCTTAAGGTCAAATAATACTTTGAATATGAGGGACAATCGGGGCTTTCCATATTACCCACGCGCACATTGCATTCGAGTACTGTCTCAGATTAGCTAGTTATCAGGCTGAAAAAGTAGAGAATGGTGAACCCAAGGGAAGGAACCATTGAACAGAAAAGATATGATAATGTCACAAAGATGGTATAATTGAAGTAGTAGGAATATTGACCATGGGAAATGTGAAACTGAGATAAGCCAGGAACATTATTTGCCTTATTGCTGACCTATGTAGGAAGAGCAACACATACAACAGATACATGTATTTACAAATAGATGTATCTATCTCTGATTTTAATTTAACAAATTAGTTTGCTCACTCTACCCAAATATAGAAAGCATTAAAAGATAACTGATATCAACACATTTTGAAACAAACTAGAAAAGCTCTTGAATAAAGAAATTACATCATTTGTGGTCTCAGTAAACAATACAATAAAACTATTGTCAGACCAATCATTAGGCCCTATGAAAATTCTTCTTTGTGTTAGCTCGCAAATAATTTTTTTCCATTTCTACCACTCCACCCCAAACCAAGGGCTCATTTTCTTACATATGAATTATTTTGGTATTCTAACTGGTCACCTTGACTTCAATTTTGGCCTAAACCCATTTTATCCATCATCCCAAATTCAAAGGCCAATTTGAATTTTATTAAATGCTATGTTCATTGTGGCAATGACCTTTTTAGAGAAACAAAAGCAAAGGGAGAACAAAACAAAACAACCCTTTAATAGATAAAATTCCAAATCTACAGTTGGCAACCAAATGACTTTTTCAACTCTTGAAAAATAACCAATAAATATTTGAATTAATATTTGATCTGTAATATATTTAGACTTTGGAATCTTAGCTTTAATAAATTAGGACAATTTCCCATATTGGAAGGAGTATAATAGGTTTTTCTCATGTCAAAGTTGGACACATCAATGATTACAGGTAACAGTGTCTTTCACTTGGGCAATGTGAATTCATTGACCTGCCTGACTAAATGGAACAAAATACCAGAGAAAACAAGAAAAATCTTTGTTGTCATATAGCACTCAGCTCAGATAGAAATTCTGACATACACTTAGCTCTGCTAATGACCTCATGTAGTAAATTGTTTTACAGAAACTGTAGATACTACGGCACAGACATGCGCACACATGGGGGCACACAAACACAAGCACGTGCCCACAGAGTCTAAGTTCTATAGATTTTATCTAAATTTCCTACTTGTACTTTACTGCAGATTTGAAAATAATAAGGATTTATGATCCAAAATGAGATCCTTAGGTACATTTTGGTGAAAGGAGCCTACCTTGATTATGGAATTTGGAAGTCGAAAAAAACTGGTAAAAATGCTGGTTGGATATTTGAATGAGATCACAGGACCCAAGGCAAAATTCATTTTGATTCTTTGTGCTAGTTCAGGCATGGTGGAAAAGGCTACAAACCCTGGGAGAACAGGAGACAAGACAATCTTGTAAAAATAAATACTTATGTAATGTTTCTACCAAAAGCGGGGCTCTGCTTAGTCATTTTTCCTTCTATTGCAATCATACTGGGGATGGACTAGAAGTCTTCTGAGTTATTCTGCAAAGATAATCTGCCTTCAGTTGTCTCTGCTCTCAAGTCGCCAATTTTATTTTGTTCTATTTATGGACAATTTGACCTGGTTTGGGGAAATGGAGTAGCTAGCAAGGGAAAGGTGGGGGTTAAGCTGCCAGAATAGCTACTGCTGTGTGAATTGAAAGCGTCCTTACTTCCCAAGCATGGGGTAAATGCTGGCAACATTCTCATTTCATCCCTAACTCTGAGATGCCAGAATGAATCACAGAACTTCCAGAAGCAAATAATCAGTTCACAGGAGGTGAACTGATTTCTTTCTCCAGCAACGCCCAGTTATTCCAACAGGTTTTCTTTCCCACTATGGAATGAAACTTCACTGCTCCCAGTGCCTTGCTGGATGTCTATCAACCCTCCAAACTCTTCCCTGGTTCCAAAAAGAAAGGGGTTTCCCCTAGTGTTCTCAATGGCCTAGTAGAAAAGCAGTAGCATTGCACATCTTTATATCTCTGTGAGGATGGAGATCAGCACCATACTGGGTAGGCTAGGAGGAATATCCATATAGTTTGGTTTCCAGAAGTCCCTTCCTGGGCTTCCACTGGTGTGTGTGTAAACACTTGTTGAAACATTAAAACTGTCTTGGCCAGAAAAAGAGGAACTGAAATAATTGACTGAACAATTGATAAAAAGACTCTGAATCCGGAATAGTACTTTCTCAGAGGGTGTTTGGAAATATGTGGAGATGAGATTTTTGGGGTCACACTGCAGAACCCTGTTAACATTTAATGGGTTGGGACCTAAATGTCCTACAAAGACCACTCACTTATGCTCCTTACATAAAAAATTTCTCTGTCCAAAATGCAAACAACATTCACTGAGAAACTTTATGCCCTAAATATAACACAGAGAACAGATAATCAAATTCTCTGTTTTCTTTGCAGATCTGTCCAAGTCCTACCCACTTTTCCAAAACCAACTTAAGTTATTACTTCTGTATACCATTTTTTCCAGAATCCTTACACATACCATTGGTGAAGTCAGATACACCTGATTTGAATCTGTGTTCTGAACTTGTGTTTCTTCTTCTCTAAGATGGAGACAATAATAGTCGGGTTGTTTTGATGATCAGAGAGAGATACTGTGGGAAAGGTCCTGAACACAGGACCCAACACATAACAAATGCTCAATAAGTGTTAGATATTATAGTATAATTATTTGCCTATTAGTGGCATTTGTGATCTCCTATGAGTTTTTGGATACTTTTCTAGTATATGCGCTCTGATGCTAACTGCCTAGTTGAAGCTTTGAAAGTGCCTATCAATATAAAGTACTAATTAATGTTTGTTACTGATGATAGTGGATAATGAAAATATTTCCCTAAATTAAAATATTACATTTTCATGTAATTTATTCCCTTAAAATTGGAAACTTTGGTGGAAGTTCAATTACAAAATTAAAGCTTTTATTAGTATGGTTTCCTTTGAACTTTTATTTGGAACTAGATTATTGATTTCATTCAAAACTATCTGAGCAATTATTAAGAATTAAATTGTCAACTTAAAAAAACCTTAAAAATTTCTACATAGTGCTTACATTTACTTTCTATTTAACAAATATGAAATCACACACTAAATACATAAGCTCAATTGATTTATTATAGTAAGCTTTGTGTGCCAACCCACAAACAAATATAACCATGTCTTTTCAACATGTTCAAATGTAAGTATAAGCACCATCCTTTTATTTTTAAAAAATCCTATTTGGATTGTGAGAAAGAGATGATTGATGCAAATTTATTATGTTTCAGCCATATTTCATGGCATTAAACTTCACTTTTTCATCTCAGAGGGAATCTAGAAACTTACTCTGCAGAATTATTTCTTTGAATTTGGAACACATTTTATTCCTGGGAAACTGCATCACCATTGCCAATATGCTGCTGTGACCAGAGACCCAGGAAAGGTTTATCCTACACATAGTCTCTGCACTGCAGGCTCACAGCTACTTAGAGTACTAGGGTTATTCCCAGCAGAGCACAGAGAATTGAGGGCACTATAAGTAGCAGTTACTTTATTCTAACATAAAGGTGAACTCTTGTAAGACTCTGAGAACATTGACCCTCAAAAACATACCTATTGTAGTGCCAAGTGAATGTCCAATGAAATGCAATTTCTCCTGACCAGTTTTATTTATAATGAAGTCTATTATTCCTGGGAGATCGTATTTGGCCATTTCATCAAAACTGCAAAATAAAACAGGGGCTTTTATAAATACTGGCAAGTTTAAGTTTAAAACTCAGAGCACTTGCTCACTTCTTTTTTACACACAGAATTCTATGCTGTTTACTTCGATTCAGTGTATATCACATTTATTTATCCAATTAAATGCAGGCTATTGAAGCTTTTTGTTTTTCTGCATATATACATTTTACTTCCTCATGAGAGGAGCACTTACAAGATTGTGTATGCTGTTTGAATTCAACCCTATGATTCCTCCTCTTCCTTCCCTTCTCTTGCTTCTCTTTGCCCTCCCTTTCCCCATCTAGTTTGTGTGCTTCTACTTCTGACTCCCCCATGGGGCTTCATAATTCTTAGCACCATTTAATACCCATCTTTGGAAATTGGACTGTTGTAAATCATGATTCTACCATTTATGAGCTTTGCAACTCTTGCAAAGTTACTAAAATGCTCTGAGCCTATGTTTTCTCTTTTGAGAAATAAGCAGGGTAGTTCCTGGTTTACAGGGCTGCTAAGAGGGTTTAATAGTATGAAAGAAATGACTCTGGCTACTAGTAGGCACTAAGTAAGATGATGTAAGTAGTAGTATTCCTGTCCACATAGATATATGGATATATATTTAATATATACCAGTATTCCCTAGTACCAGTATTTTGTTCTTCGGACAGGAGGAACAAAAAGGCCTATATAACGTTTAATCAAAGCAGGTATTCCATAAATTAGAAGCCTGTTTTTTAAAAGAACGTGAGGATATCTACAGGTTGGGACTTCCAAGAATAGGAGAATTGTTGTGATGCTCCTGGAGACCAGTGATAATATTTCCTGATGCTTGCCCCTGCCCGGGAACCATAACATTTTACTCTGTTCCTCTATTCTTCTCAAACCTTCAGTGGGTACTAAATATTTTATTAATGTGATAGGAATACACACTGCTCTAGCAGCAGGTTTGCAAACCAACAGGGAGCTTAGGCCTGAAAAGAGAAAGTCTACTGCAGGCATTAGCCTGTCCTCTGGTGACAGCAGAAAACTTTTCCCTTAAAATAAACAATTAAAATATCAAAAAGATTCTTCTCCATTGACCATTTACAAGGTTTTTAAAAACCTAATATTGGAGTTTTCCTGAAAATGATCCTATGTGCGATCTCAATCACAGTTTCTCTAAATCAGTACAGTCCTGGTCTAAATCATCCTTGCACAGTGGATTACCCAGGAGAAAAGACTTGTAATATCACTAAAATGAACATAAGCTTTGTGAAGTCAGGATTTGCTTTATTCTCTGTTCGAATGTTCAGAGCCTAGAATAGTGCACACCGTAGTCACTCAGTAAACACTGGCTGAAAGAATGTACACATTGGTCATGAAAATTTCCTGAGCTGTCTCCCTGTTTGGACATACTTTTAATGCATAGAATTGATAGAATTGGATGTTAAAATGATCTTGTTGAAATGCCATACTTTGCCTGTGAGAGAATCAGTGAAAATCAAAGCTTCTTGCTGTTTCCCTCTTTTGAGATGTTAACAGAAACTGCAAGGAGCTATATGACTTCAACGGTCAAAGATGATTATTAAGAGCATCCATGTTATTTTTTTTTTAATGCTTCCAACTTCGCCCTTCAGTTTTCTTAGCTATTATTTACCTAAAGGCCCAGAATTTCTCGTCTGTCTCTGAGAGTGTTTTGTGTCTTCTTGACCAAGTGTTTCCCCGACTGTTTCCCATCCATACATCATAACCTGCATCTGCTAGAAGGAATCCAAGGCTTCCATTGGCATAATTCTCAAGCCAGTAGGCATTGTCGGCAAACAGGGCATGCTGCATATACACAACTGGACGGGGACCTGGGGGAGAGAGGGTAAGATGAGACAGGGAGAGAGAGAGAGAAAGAGAAAGAGAGAGTAACTTATGGTAAATAGAGCATGTCAGAAACATTACAGAAACACACACATACACACAGGGTAAAACAAAAACTGTTTTCACTTTTCCCTTGTTAGTAGTATAGAGCATTATAATCACGTAACTTCAGTTTATTGAGCACATACTTTGTACCTAGGTGCTATGTTGACCTATTTATATGTATTAGCTTACTAAATTCTTACAACTACTCTATAAACTAGCTGCTATTTGGAGAATCCTCATTTTATAGATGTGGAAACCAAACCTTATGTAGTTAAGTAATTTTCCCAGAGTGACGCCCAGGTAAGAAGGCACAGAGCAGGGACTCAAACCCCCTTCTTTTTTATGTCAAAGCCTGTACTGGTAACTGCTCTGCCCTATGTATTTGTATATACAAACTTCCTGGGTGTGGTTTACAAAGATGTGAAATGTATCATGCTTACTCAAGTCCTATAGCTCTTCCAGGGAGGAAGAGGAGGTGAGTGTAAGTGGATACTGATCGGTTCCTCACCAAACTTCTATTCAAATCCCCATCCTTTGCCCAGTGGAGAGCATTCAAAAACTACAATAGTATACTCAGCTCAATGTCCTTCTGCCAACTTTCAGATGCCTGAGGAAAAGAAGGTATTCAGGGAGATGCAAAGAAGCAGGGCAGAAGGTCAAGTAAGGCACTATAATTTAATGACTAAGAGCACAGGCTCTGGAGCCAGGATGCCTGGGCTTAAATTCTGGTCTATCAGCTTGCTATATGTGTGCTTCAGGCCTCTTAACATAACCAGTTGTGCCTTAATTTCATCATTTGTGAAATGGTGACTATTAGTGGTACCCATCTCATATTGTTTATGAGGGGTTTGCCTGATTTAAAATATTTAGAACATTATATCTAATAAATGACCTTTAATTCTAAGTCTTTCCAAAGTTATCTCTCCTTAAACAAAACCTTTTCCATAAAAGTTTTCTCCTTTTGTATTTCATAGCTCCCTCACGCCTGTACCTGGGATTGCCAGGTTTAGCAAAAAATAAAAAGAAAAATAAGCAAAAAGATCCAGGATGCTCTACGAAATTTGGATTTAAGATACATAGTGAATAACTTTTTAGTATATCTTAAAATGAGACTTATACAAAAATTATCTGTTGCTTATCTGACCTTCAAATTTAACTGGGTGTTTCATATTTTAACTAGTAAAACTATTCATATTGTTCTCATTTTTTATTCTGAAACTGGAGATATAGAGGGAGAGAATGTCAAACATGACTTCAGCTGTTGCTTAATGTGTATGGTGGGAGAAAAGTTGCAAAATGAACATGGTAAGCAGCTGCCAATAAATTATTTGCTATTGAGCCATTGCAGATATTTTGCTTATTCTTTTCTTTTATTCTTCAGAGGCTTTGCAGTTAAATTTTCCATTTTAAGGAGTGTCATTCCCTTGCTATGGCATGGCTGGATCCTCATTCTAGAATTCAAGCCTTATTGACACCATACTCTTTCATTCCATGAACCAGTGTGTCCCTTCGATCAAAGTGTACGTGAATGTTAAGGTTTTCAATCCTGGCAAACTTTTCAGAAATGCCATTATCATTTAACTCGATTTTATCTTTATCCTGCAGAGGGAGGCCCCTTCATTTTACTAGGGGTAGAAGAGGTTCTTCTTGGGTGCCCCACAGTGAATTTCATACAACCCAGCAAATCTCCTCCTAACAATGAAGAGATCCATTTTCCTGGGAAAAAGCAATTTTCCACATGATAAATCAGTAACGAGCTGACAAAATGTGGGCTCCACCTTTCTGTTTACACCCTAACAAGTACGTCTGGTCGCAGTTAGCAAGATCAGTCTTGCTCTTTGTATTTTTAGTTTCTTGTCTGTCTTCAGAGAATTATCAGGAAAAGAGTAACCCTTCCTGTTAACTATTTAAAGACTAATCTAACAATTCAAACCAATTTCGATAAACTCTGTTGAAGCATATCTAGCACTAAATTATTTCTGAAAAGGAGAAGGTCAATGCCGTCCTGCTTTTCAGGAGAGACATAGCTTGTACCTGTGCTCCTAGCATGTCTTTGCCCATAGGGAATTCTGTTGACAAGCAGTATGTACCCATCTTCAGTGGTGACTTCATACTCTTCACTGGGATAGCCATTGTAGATGATTATTTCACTCTGCCCAGCAAAAATACAGTCATTAGCTGAACTTCTCCAAAGGATATCAAAAGGAATTAAAGCATCTGTTGTGTGCCTATTTGGGTGAATTATCTGAAATTTGTATCACCAGGTAACTGTAAAATTAATTTAATAAATAAAGTCTTAATACAAAATAAGTAGAATGTTTAAAAATATCTACTACTGGAAAATATTTTGGGGGGTAGGGGGAACATTTAGCATTGACTCATTCTTTCTGACAAAGCTACATTCTCAAGTCAGTTGTCTTTTGAGACTTCTCTTGGTTTAAAGGTAATAGAACTGTAGATCAGTAGAAGGAAATCATATATATCAACAAATACCTTAATATTCTTAAAATATAAATTCAAAAGGAGAGGTTCTATTTATCTACATAGATAGCAGAATAGCACAGTTTTGGTTTTCATTACTAGAAAGTATTAGTTTTTCAGTCAAAGGAGCACATCTACCTAGCTTGACTCTCGCAAAGGTTAAAAACCATCTACATTTTTATGTTTTATCAGAGATTTCTGTTATAACATAACCTTTCCTAACCTCTTAATCCATTAATCTTGCTTTATTTGATGTTCTTCAAAGTTTTCCATGACTTACAGTATTCATCCACACCTCAGGATTCACTTCATTTTCCAAATCAACTAATCCACCAGCATTTAAGGTTCCAGAAATCAAACAAGTTATGGTCAAAAACAGCCACATCATAGAAATGCCTGGCATAAAACAGTTAATATTCACAGATTATCAATGCTGATTAATGAAATATCAATATTGATTAATGAAATAAAATGATTTTAATGAAATTATTAATGATTAATGAAAACTTGAATAGCACTGAAAGCAGATAACATATAAATGGGAATAAATATAATGAACTAACTTGGAGCACTAGTAATCTATGTTTTCATATAGAAGTTGTCTTGATCATAATCCAGTTTCTAAAATGAAATAAATTTAATTAGGTATGGAGGTATTTTATTTTAATCGAGGTTGAATTGTTTTAAATCTTTGTTTGTCTACAATTTGCCAAAATAGCTAAAGATTCAGAGGACAAGTTTTCATACCATTGGCAAGTAAAAAGTGGAGTTATCTCCTAGTTAAGCCCAGTATCCCACAAAATAAACAAGAAAAATGGATAAATAAAAATTTAACCGAACAAAAAAGCTTATGATTCATTTCTAGTGATGTGACAATTTATCTTGTGGCACACAAAGGCAAATTTTGCATATCTCAATGTACAGTCTCACTTCCTTGCCATAGTTTAAAAGTATGTCTGTTCAAAGGTAAACCAACACTATAACACTACAGCATGCTCATCATATAAGTGCTGCAGCCAAATGGCCTAAATCTGAAGTCCAGCCTCACCACAAAAGAAGATGCCTAACCTCGGGCAAGTATTTTGGTAGCTTTGTCTCTTGGTTTACTTGTTAGTAAAATTAGGACAACAATGTAACCTATCTCATAGGGTTATAGTGAGGATTAAGTCATATAATACATAACATTTAGTACAGTGTAAGTTCTTAATAAACACTTTCACTATTTTTCTTATAAAAGTGAGAGAGTAATATTAGAGATAATTAGTATTACAAATTAATATTTAACTTGTAGAAATTCAGAGTTTACTTTTGAAGCTAAATAGCTTTCCATACATTAGCTATCTGGTTAAAGACAATTTTATATCTGCTAATGTTATATAACGTTTCTAATTGTATGAAATTAATAATAACCAATATCTACTGAGTGCTCTCTTATAGTAGGCATTGCTCTAAATAGTTCACATATGTTATTTAAGTTCCAAAAAACTCCATAAATTTGGTATTATTATTATCTTCATTTTATCAATGAAAAAAACAAAGGCTTAGAGAGATTTAAGACCTGCTCAAGGTCACAGAGCCAACAGGTGACAGATCTAAAATGGACATTCAGGCAGCCTCATTGCAGAGCTCTTGCACCTGACTGCCACTTCCAACTTGCCTCCTGGTTATGACAGATCTTTATCTTACCTAGTTAGATGAGCTTCACCTGCTCCCTCCCAAGGACTCCTTATTGATGAGGAACTTCTGAACTTTTGCTTTTGACATCAGGCTGAAGAGTAAGAGATGGTTACAGTGACAGTTAGAAGCTAGAGAGATGAGAATCAAGAAGCTTGTGAAAAAGGAGGAAGCTTTAGACTGAGACACACACCCAAGGCGTGTCCCTGACACACCAAATGCCACAATGCACTTGCGGGTTGGGAAATAGTGGTCTACATGATGCCAAATAACCAGTTTGACAGAATCCTTCATGTGTCCACTGAGTGTCTGTCATTGTTGGGAGGACTTAGCAACATTTTCAAACCAGTGTGTCAAACAGGGAAGTAGAACATACTCAAGATCTTAATGGACAATCAGAGATAATAGTATCTCCCTTCCCCATTTGATCCTTCATGAAGATCAAATGGAATAACATATATTAAAGAACTAGTGTCATACGTGCAGTGTGTAGGGATATATGTGATTGTAACTCAGTTGAGAAGATGAGGCAACCCTGACTCCTAGATCCTGAAACCAGAAGGAGTTTGGAACTAGCAGTATGGCAGAAGAAACTAGCTTACATGCCAAAGGGATTTGTCTTGCTGTCAACTTTGGCACAGTAACCTCTGTTTAAGGCAGTGGTTAAAGGCAGGAATGGAGGCCTGAAGAGATAATGACAATTTAGCTCTAAGTGCCACATGAAATACCAGATAATAGGGGCACATGTGCCTGAGTTTTCTACTTCACTTTGTATGCCTATGGAGCTTAAGCAGTAACTGAATCTCTCATCTCCTAGCATGAAGAAGGGTGGGGAAAACTCAGCTGCTACCCAGAATAATATAGGAGTTTCAGTTCTATTAGTTTGAATTTATCTTCAAATCCTTTCAAAAAATGATATTTTATGTTTTCCAAATCCTAAAATCTGTTCTTAGGAGTGAGAAATTTCAAGCCAATTAAACAAATGTGGAGTAAAAGGAAGTGCTCAGCTTGTTGGAACAAGGAAAAGTTATGCACCACTCCTTAATCCTTTAGTCTTGATGAAAACCTCAGCATGTTTTGCCCTGATTGATAGGATGATGGCATAGGTATATGGATTTTCCTGGAATCACTCATGGTTTTTAACTTTAAAAACAATCTTTTCTAACAAAACCTTAATGGACTCTTTAGAAAGTTCTAGGAAGCAAAATGTTGTTATTAATAATATTGATTTGTTGCCTTAATATGGAAATAGCACAAATATAATTCAACTTCTCAGATCTTTACAGATTGTAGACTAGCTCAAATCTTAAAATAATTTCTAAATCATTGATTTATATTCCTTCCTCAACTTTGAATTATTTGAATAATCAGGAAAATTCTTGTAATTCTTTTGTTTGTACAGAAAAAGAGTCATGTCAAAAACATGAAGCTGAAGTTTCTCATAATGCTCCATCACTCTTCCTATATAAGCTTGTTATTTTTAAGTAGTCAATATATTACTGAATATTATGTTTTTCTATATTATATATTCTGTAATATTCAATAATACATTCCATATTATATATTTTCTATATAACAGTATGTAGAAAATACATGTTATATTTCTATTATATATTTCAATACTCATACTGAAATTAATTTAAATGAAAAAATTGAAACTTGTTCCTTGGCCCTGTGGAATACAAAATGGTACCCCCTACTCTCTAGAAGCTCAAATTTTTCCTGTTTTTTTTTTTTTTTTTTTTTTTTTTTTTTAATAAAATTAGATTATAGTAGAGCTAGACAGGGTTAACCTTTCAGGAGTCTTGTGGTATTTTTGCAGTCTTGGTCCAAGAATCATATTATAGCCTAAGCAAACTGCTTAATGATGGCTGCCCATTCAATTATGAAGACAGCAAAAAATATGTGGTTGAACATAGATCCTTGACTTTGGGATTGATCTGTAAAAATGATTACCATTTCCCTTCCAATATTCTAATTCAAAACACATCTGCTATTACAGTGTGGTTATCTTTTTGTTTGTTGGATTGCTTCTTTCTCCCCAAAGGCTGCTTTTTGAAATTTTCTCTTGAAAATAACTAAAAGTTAAAAAGGTTAGGCTATAACCAGCAAAATAGAAACTAATAAGAATTTTGAAAAATAAATAAGTCGAACTTCACACTTTTGAGACAAATTTCACCCTACAGTAAAAGACTGTGGATGAACAAGAACCTGGATTTTGTCTCTTGCTCACTAGATAATTTATTTTGCATCCTAAAATTCAAACAGTATTTAACAGAACCATAAGTGTGCATAAGCGTATATGTTTATGTATGTAAAATGATTAATTAGTACCCTTTGGCTTAAGAGAAAATACTTTAATTATGTTTTAAAATTTTACCTCTTTACCCATAAAGCAAAGTTGGCAATATTCATAATTTCTAAGAAACAGTATTGTTTTTGAACTTATGTGTTAGAGTAGAACATCCTTCCTTTAGTGTCAGTGAAAATGAATCTCTATTTCAGTGCCATCTATACTACATCCATCTTCAAAAACAGTAATAGCTATAATGGAGAGAAGAGAGAAATGACAAAAAGTCTATCAAACATAATTAACTAAAATATTAAAGATTTTTGAAGAGGCCATATGAGTTTATTGAACACACATCCATCCCAACTCAAAATGTTTAAAGGAAAAATCACTTACATTTAAAGAGAAAGTGTTACCAAGAGTGCTGGCAGCTGTCCTTGATAACATCCATGTTCTGGAGTGGCAGGATCAGGACTGTCCATGTTTGTGACAAAGGTCAAATCTTTGTGAGAATGAAGGGAAGGGCCATACCATTGAATATGAGGAAAATTATATCATTTTCCTCCTCCAGAGAAGTTTACTTGCCTCACTTCCTGCTTAATATATAGCATATATGTATGGTATTCTCTACAGCTCATTTTGTATTTGAATTTCTGTAGGAGGCATATTCAAATGTAGATTCTTTTTTTTTTTTTTTTTTAAAAAAAAAAAAAAAAAAAAAAGACAGGACACTTAGCTAGACATTCGAATTGGATCTGGTTTTAGATTGTCCCATCCAATCTGTATGAGTAAATAAATGGTGATTGGAATGTGCAAAGAAATAACGTTGGTTGTTTTGATATATGCTCCTGTTTTTCTCCTGAGTTAATATTCTATTTTGAGTTACTGATAAATCACCTTCAAATCTTGCTAGCACCCTGAAAATAGGTAAATGGTTTTTAGTGTTAGAGTTTCTTGATTTCATTCCTCCTCTAATCACCATCACCATCAGAAATTTTTTCTGAGTGAGTGAATGAGTGATTGAATGGATGATTCTAGAAGTCCAGAGAATGCAGCTTAGTTACTGAAAAATACTAATAATGTTATTATAAATAATAATAGTGACTTATTTATTTTAGTACTTAGTATGTGTCAGGTATTTTACTTTGATATGCTACCAACTTGGCTATAAATTCCAGTAACTCTCTTTGCTGTTAGGTGTGTTTCAAAGGAAATTTTTCTTGATGTTACTTACTAAATTTACTAGAAAACAGGAAATTCACAGGAAAACTTCAGTCTTGTCCTGTTTTTTAAATAAATTGGAAGAGATTCATTGTTATTTACAGATTGCTTAGCACATGAATACAATTTAAAAATTGCTACTTGATAGCAGTTTTTCTATTTTTCAGCCTCCAAATTATCCTTAAACCTGATGACTGCTGTAGCACAATCTGACATCTTTTACACAGCCTGTGTTTTCATTTTTCCATACATTAAAAAAAATCTTATAAATACAGAGCTATTCCATTTTCTACAAATAACCAGAATTTTTAGAAGATAGTTATCTTACTCTTTTCATTATCTCAGCATGGTTCATTAGAAATATAATGTGAACTACATATGTAATTTAAATTTTCTAATGGCCTCATTTTTAGAAAGCATAAAAGGTGAAGTAAAAATTTAAAATACATTTTATTTAAACCAATATGTTCAAAATATTATTTCTACATATAATCAATATTATTATTAATGAGACATTTTCTGATATGGTTTGGCTCTGTGTCTCCACCCAAATCTCATCTCAAGGGAGAGACCTGTGTGAGGTGATTGGATCGTAGGGGTGGTGTCCCTCATGCTGTTCTCATAATATTGAGTGAGATCTAATGAGATCTAATGGTTTTATAAGTGTCTGGCATTTCCCCTGCTTGCACTTCTCTCTTGCCTGTCACCATGTAAGACATATTTACCTCCCCTTCTGCCATGATTGTAAGTTTCCTTAGGCCTTTCCAGCCTTGCAGAACTGTAAGTCAATTAAGCCCCTTTCCTTTATAAATTACCCAGTTTCAGGAAGTTCTTTATTCTCCACTTCATAGCTATTATCATCATTTAAAATCACATATCTGATCTTATCTTTTAAGTAGTCTTGAGAATAAGACTTCAACAATTTTGTTTTCAAAATCCTGTGAGTGGCTAGGAGGGCCTAAAACCAGACTCTGCCTATCCGTTTGCCTTACCCCAGTCTCTCTTTGGCTCCTTGGGCTTTTTAAATTTTCTTCATTTAGCCCAGCTCTTCACCACCTGAGCTAGTCCTCTACCTGTAATATCTGGCAGATGTCACAGATCTCAGCCAAAATTTCATGTCTTCGGAGAAGACTTCTCTGTCCACCTTGTTGAGGATGTAATTCTTTTTGATGGATTCATCACAATTATTAAATTACAATTAAAATGTAAGTATGTAAATTAGTATAGGTTGACCATTCCTTAGCCAAAAATCCCAAATCTAAAATCCTCCAAAATCCAACATTTTTTTAGCACTGACATGACACAAGTGAAAAATTCTATATCTGACCTCATATAATAGGTTACATTTAAAACACAGTCAAAACCTTTTTCATGCACAAAATTATTTAAAATACCATACAAAATTACTTTAAGCCTATGTGTATAAAGTGTATATGAAATGCAGTAAATTTTATGTTTAGATTTGGATTCTATCCCTAACATATCTTATTATGACATGCAAATATTCCAAAATCCAAAATATGTCTGGTCCTGAGCATTTTGGATATAGAATACTCAAACTATAGCTGTATAGTATCTGACATTTTCATTGCTCTGAGCTCCACTTGGGCAGGAGCAGTGTTTTCCTTATTATTCTTCTTGTTTTAAATGGCTAGTTAATTTATAATACATACTTAAAACATTAAAGCATAAAGTTGAGAGCTTGGTTACCTAAAGTCAAGGTTTCAGAGTTCAGAGAACTAATATTTTAAAGCAAGTTGCCCAGTATCTCTAAATTTCAGTTTTTTAATCTGTAAAGAAAAGATAAAGCTATCATGTTATAAGGCTATCACGAAGATTAAATGATACAATCCATGTAAAATGCTTACACTATCATTTCTTTATGAAAAAGGCTCAGTGAACTTGAATGATCATGGAGGTGACAATTTTTGTCAAACCATATGCTTCTCTGTTTTTTTTCCATGTAATACACCAAGCAACAGCTTGATACTAGAATTTTCCATGTATTTTATTACAGGAAAAGAAAACACTAGTCAGGCCAAATTGTAATTTTTGATATAAATTATAAACATGTGTTTTGTTTTGTGTTCTGCAGCTCCTTGTACATTTCAATCACATGAATCAGCATGTGTAAGTGCAGTCATTTCTGGGACAGTGACAAGATCAGTGTCAGGATATGCCAGTCTGATAAGCCACAGTCACCAAAGAGGTGTCTACCTGTGAAGCCTTTTGGTGCCCTGCCAGCTAGCCTTCCCCTGCTAAGACTCAGATTTCCTTTAATACCCACCCCCTCATGCCTACAGCCCCTTTATTTGTGCCAGGAAATTCTTGATAAATGAGTCTTAGCCACATTTGTATTAATTACATGTTTTAGAATACCCCAATTTCTATAGGGCCAAATCAAGTGCTTCATAACACTTGACACTCCCAGTTACCAAACATGTATTCATTGATCATTGACTGTCTGCCTGGGTGGTTGTTTTTCAACCCTATATATGGAAATAAAAACAAATTCAGCAATCAGCAATGCAAAATTCAATGCCTGGCATCCAATATAAAATTATTAAGCATGCAATAAGGCAGGACCCATAACTAGGAGAAAAATTAACCTATAGAACAAATTCCCAAATTATAGAGGTGACTGAATTAACAGAAAATATGTTAAAATATATATTAAAATGATTACTCAAGAATTTAGATCTATCAAACTTTTAACCAGAGACAGAATAATTATCATTATCAATATTATATATAATTTTATATTATGACAGATAACATGTTATATAATATTACTTATTTATTATACATTGTTATACAATTCTTTAATACATTATCATTATATTGTACTATATTATATATAATAAAATTATAAATTATATAATATAGTATGTTATATAATTAATGTAATCAAATATTTAATTAATATAATTGTTACATGATAATAACAAATGGTAGTGGTAATATACAACTGCTGATAACAAAGTACCACAAACTTAGCAGTTTAAAACAATACACATTTATTATCTCACTGTTTCTGTGGGTCAGTAGTCCAGGCATAGCATAACTGGGTCTTACTATCACGGTGTTGGCCAGGATGCTCTCTCAGTGCGAGGTTACTAGGGAAGAATGGGCTTCCAAGTTTATTCAGGTTTGGGCAGAATTCATTTTCTTGTGGTTATGTGACTGAAGGCCTTGGTGTTTTGCTGTTTTATCAGCTGGAGGCCACCCTCAGATCCTAAAAGCTGTGGTCAGTTCCTTGTAAGGTCACTTTTCTTAACACATCTGTTTATTCCATCAAGCTAACCAAAAGAATATTTTGCTCCAATGTAATAAGATGACTGACTGACTGACTGACTGACTGATTATTTATTTATGTATGTATTTATTTATTTATTGAGACAGAGTCTTGCTCTGCTGCCTAGGCTGGAGTGCAGTGGTGTGATCTCGGCTTGCTGCAAACTCCACCTCCCGGTTTAAGCGATTCTTCTGCCTCAGCCTTACAAGACACTGGGATTACAGACATGTGCCACCACACCCAGCTAATTTTTGTATTTTTAGAAGAGACAGGATTTCACCAAGACTGGTCTGGAAGACCTGACCTCAAATACTTCTCCAGTCTCGGCCTCCCAAAGTGCTGAGATTACAGGTGTGAGCCACCAAGCCCGGTGGACTTCATGTATAATGTAATCGGGGATTGACCTCTTATCACCTTTGCCATATGATGCAACCTAATCAAGGGTGTGACATCTTACACCTTTGCCAGTTCTGTTGGCTTGAACGAAGTCTCATATCCCACCAACATTGAAGGGGAGGAGATTATACGAAGGCATAGATAACAGAAGATGAAAATCACTGGGGGTCACTCTAGGGTCTGTTCATCTCATTATTTTTATGAAAATCCACTTGTTTGGAGAAAGGAAAGTGCATTTAATTTTGTTAATATTCCTCCATCAATCTAATTAGGTCTTGGTAAATTTCCTGAGGTGCATCCTGTCCAAGATAAAAATCCACATGATTGTAGTGTGGAATCAGCTTGTAATAAATAAGGTTGGAAATTTGAGGAAGTAAATTTTTGACATCCTTGGGATCAGCCACAATGTCCCGTCCACCATTCCATATTGCTGTTGGAACTTCCATCTTAGTAATGTTGTATAGAGGAGGCGTAAGCTAAATACAATGAACAAGATAGAAAAAAGTTTTTACAGAAAATTACATGATAAAAGTAACATTAACTGTCAGCTGTTGAGCAAATTCTTTACATGCTACAAATGTACAATTAGTTTACACTTAATGATATATAAACATTAAAATGTTAAAAACACTTGACCACTTTTGTGTACTAATATGAATTGTGAATCAAAAAAACTATTATATTTCTGACTTGCACGTTGGGGAAAATAAGAGAAGATTCTAGAGGAAGAGGGTTCTTTTTCCCATACGGGATCATCTTTCTAGTTAGCATTTGACCTCAGAATGTTACCTTTTCAAACTAAATGTTGGATAAGATAAACATCCCTTCTCATAGGCACAAACTTGGGCTCGTGGCATTATTAATATTTGGGAATCAACGGACTCTTCAGGGAGAACTGAGACCAATGCATGAAAGACATTTGAAGCATGATGTTAAAAAGGAGTCAGTCTGGGCCTGGTGCGGTGGCTCACGCCTGTAATCCCAGCACTTTGGGAGGCCAAGGCGGGTAAATCACAAGGTCAGGAGATCAAGACCATCCTGGCTAACACAGGATGAAACCCCGTCTCCACTAAAAATACAAAAAAAGCCAGGCGTGGTGGCACGTGCCTGTAGTACCAACTACTCAGGAGGCTGAGGCCAGAGAATCACTTGAACCTGGGAGGTGGAGGTTGCAGTGAGCTAAGATTGTGCCACTGCATTCCAGCCTGGGTGACAGAGTGAGACTAGGTCTAAGAAGGAAAGAAAGAAAGAAAGAGAGAAAGAGAGAAAAGAAAAGGAGTCAGTCTGTTACATTAGAGTGGCTATAGTATTCTATAAACTCCCAGCAAATTTTCCCTTACTACTTCTTTCTTGTGTTGATCCAACACAGCCCCTAATCTAGATCCCAGGTCTGGCCAGTTAGTCCTCCATTCTTCTGGCCACAATGATTGTGTGAGGGATGGGCATGTGACTAAAACTGGGCCAGAGTTCTTTCTAGAACGTTTTGCCATAGCCATTCAGAATATGGTATCTTTTGGTGGGGGTGAGGTGAGGGGGGCATTGGAAGAACTATATGAAGTAAGTCCATGTAGTCACCACTGTTTCCTCACAAGAGAAAACAGTATTCTGAAATTGTGTGTGTGTGGTACTCCCCCACCCGACTCCTGCCGTATACATCTAACTATAGCAGTTGGGGAGAAAAGTCAGATATTTCACAAGAATTAGAGTTATACATTTTCACTATTATAGTTGTTATACTAGTTATTATGGTGGCATTAAAAATTCCCACATTAAAAATTTTTTGGCTGGGCATGGTGGCTCATGCCTGTAATCCCAGCACGTTGGGAGGCTAAAGAATGAGAATCACTTGAGCCCAGGAGTTCAAGATCAGCCTCTGCAACATAGTGAGACCCTGACTTTATTTTTAAAGGTAAAAGAGAAAAGAGAGAAGCCAGGTGCTGTGGCTCATGCCTATAATACCAGCATTTTGGGAGGCCAAGGCAGGTGGATCATGAAATCAGGAGTTCAAGACCAGTCTGGCCAACATGGTGAAACCCCGTCTCTACTTAAAAATATAAAACTTAGCTGGGCGTTGTGGTGTGTGCCTGTAGTCCTAGCTACTTGGAAGGCTAAGGCAGGAGAATTGCTTGAACCTGGGAGGCTGAGGTTGCAGTGAGCAGAGATCGTGCCACTGCACTCTAGCCTGGGCAACAGAGCAAGAAGACCCTATATCAAAAAAAAAAAAAAAAAAAATTCCAAATTTCTACATCCTAGATTTGAAAAACCTAAGTATCACTGATGACTACTTTTTCAATTTAAGCTTTGTCTATTGGAAAAAGACAAAATCATTAATGAACTCCCTCACATACTTGGGAATAAAATAATAAGAAGAATATACATTTCCCTTTAATATAAAATTTTTCTCTAAAAGTTTTCATAGATCTGGTGACACACCAGATCAAAAGTAGTACTATTTGCTAGGGAATGGTGTGCCAGACACACTATCCCTGGCAGATAATACTATTTCCTAAAGATGATAATTTTTACTTATGTATCTTTAATAATCCATATAATGGTATTTTTTAAAGTGGCTAGTGAATGACATCCCAAAGAACTATTAGAACAGTCTTAGTTATTAAACATAGATAAGAAGTCAGAGAATATGTTTTAAAAGCAAACATTGCATGTTTTTGTTTGTTTGTTTCTTTGTTTGTTTTGAGAAGGAATAAGTATAGTGGGAGAAGACTAGACTTTAGATCCAGGAATCCTGAGTCATATTCTGGTTGATTTTTTCCCCTTCTAACTTTTATTTTAGATTCAGGGGTACATGTGCAGATTTATTACATAAATAAATTGTGCATCATTGGGGTTTGGCATACAAATGATTTTGTCATGCAGGTAATGAGCACAGTACCTGACAGGTAGTTTTTCAATCCTCACTCTCCTCCCACTCTCCACCCTCAAGTAGGCCCTAGTGTCTATTGTTCCCCTCTTTGTGTCCATGTAAACTTAATGTGTAGCTCCCACGTATAAGTGAAAGCATGTATATTTGGTTTTCTGTTTCTGTGTTAATTTACTTAGGATAATGGCCTCCACCTACATCCACATTGCTGCAAAGAACATTATTTCATTCTTTTTCATGGCTGCGTAGTATCCCATGGTGTATAAGTACCACATTTTATTTATTCAGTCTACCTCTTATTGGCATCTAGATTCCATGTCTTTGCTATTGTGAATAGTGCCACAATGAATATACGGGTGCATGTGTCTTTTTGGTAGAACAATTTATATTCCTTTCAGTATATACCTAGTAATAGGATTCCTAAGTCAAATCATAGTTCTAAGTTCTTTGAGAAATTGCCACATTGCTTTTCATAATGGCTGAATTAATTTACATTCCCACGAGCAGTGTATGAGCATTCTCTTTCTCCGCAGCCTCACCAGGATCTGTTATTTTTTGACTGTTAAGTAATAGCCATTCTGATGGATGTAAGATGGTATCTCATCATGGTTTTGATTTTCGTCTCTCCAATGATTACTGATGTTGAACATTTTTTCATATTCTTACTGGATGCATGCATGTCTTCTTTTGAGAAGAGTTTGTATATGTTCTTTGCTCACTTTTTAATAGCATTGTTTGGTTTTCTTTATTAGTTTGCTTAAGTTCCTTATAGATTCTGGATATTAGATCTTTGTCAAATGCATAATTTGAAAATATTTTCTCTTATTCTTAGGTTGTCTGCTTACTCTATTGATAGTTTCTTTTGCTGCGCAGAAGCTCTTTAATTAGGTTCCACTTGTCAACGTTTGTTGTCATTGTTGCAATTACTTTTGGCATCTTTATTATGAAATTTTTGCCAGGTCCTATGTCCAGAATGGTATTTCCTAGGTTTTCTTTTAGGGTTTTTACAGCTTTAGGTTTTAAATTTAAATCTTTAATCCATGTTGAGTTGATTTTTATATATGGTGAAAAGAAGGGGTCCAGTTTCAATCTTCTGCATAATTCAACACCAATTATTGAATAGACAGTCCTTTCCCCATTGCTTGTTATTGTCAACTTTGTTGAAGATCAAATGATTATAGGTGTTCAGCTTTATTTCTGGGTTCTCTAACCTATTCCATTAGTCTACATGTCTGTTTTGTACCAATACCATGCTGTTTTGGTTACTGTAGCCTTGTAGTATAGTTTGAAGTCAAATAATGCCTCCAGCTTTGCTCTTTTTGCTTAGAATTGCCTTGGCTATTCAGGCTTCTTTTGGGTTTCATATGAATTTTAAAATAGTTTTTCTACTTCTGTGTCGAATGTCATTTGTAGTTTGATAGGAATAGCATTGAATCTGTAAATTGATTTGGATGGTATGGCCATTTTAATGATATTGATTCTTCCTGCCCATGAACATGAAATGCTTTTCCATTTGTATCATCTCTGTTTTCTGTAAGCAGTGTTTTAAAGTTCTCATTGTAGAAATCATTCATTTTCCTGATTAGCTGTATTCACATTTTATTCTTTTTTGTGGCTATTGTGATGAGGATTGAGTTCTTGATTTGGCTCTTGGCTTGGACATTGTTAGTGCGTAGAAATGCTACTGATTTTGGTACATTGATTTTGTATCCTAAAACATTACTGAAGCTGTTTATCAGCTTAAGGAGCTTTTAGAATGAGACTATGGGCTTTTTAGATACAGAATGACACCATCCATTAAAAGAGAGAGTCTGACTTCCTCTCTTCCTATTTGGATGCCTTTTATTTCTTTCTCTTGCCTGATTGCTCTGGCCAGGACTTCCAGTACTATGTTCAATCGGAGTGGTGACAGTGGACATTCTTGTCTTGATTCAGTTCTCAAGGGGAATGCTTCAAGCTTTTGCCCATTCAGTATTATGTCAGCTATGGGTTTGTCATAGATGGAGTTTATTGTTATTATGATTTTCTTTTCTTTTCTTTTTTTTTTTTTTTTTTTTTTTGAGACTGAGTTTAGCTCTCTCACCCAGGCTGGAGTGCAATAGTGCAATCTTGGCTCACTGCAACCTCTGCCTCCTGGGTTCAAGCTATTCTCATCCCTCAGCCTCCTGAGTAGTTAGGATTATGGGCCCCTGCCACTACACCTGGCTAATTTTTTTTTTAAACAGAGTTTCACTCTTGTTGCCCAAGCTGGAGTACAATGGTGTGATCTCGGCTCACCGCAACCTCTGCCTCCCAGGTTCAAGCAATTCTCCTGCCTCAGCCTCCCGAGTAGCTGGGATTACAGGCAGGAACCACCACACCTGACTAATTTTGTATTTTTAGTAGAGATGGGATTTTTCCATGTTGGTCAGGTTTGTCTCAAATTCCCGACCTCAGGTGATCTGCCCGCCTCAGCCTCCTAAAGTGTTGGGATTACAGGCACGAGCCACTATGCCTGGTCGACTTTTGTATTTTTAATTGAGTTAGGGTTTCACCATGTTGGCCAGACTGGTCTCGAACTCCTGACCTCAAGTGATCCACCCAATTGGAACAGAA